ACAGGACGCGACTCTCTGTTGGGAGCTTTGGAGAGAGAAGCCCTGGGGAGTGTGGGTGGAGGTGGCTGACACAGCCTGGGGAGGTCAGGGGAGGTGTCCCCAAGTGGGGAAACAGGTGTGCGTGCACAGAGGGGGTGGTGCCAGAGCATTCCAGGCAGAGGAACAGCATGTGTGAAGCCTCAGAGGCAGGATTCCCCATGTGCCAGGGAAAACCAGAGTGATGAGCTTGGCCTGAGTGGTGAGAGGAGGCTGAGGGCCAGGTGTGGCCTCCTGAGCTGATCTAAGGGAGGGGGCTTTACCCCAGGGCAGCAGGATGCTCCTGACGAGATTCAGCGTGTGGGAGCAAATGGCTTGGTCAGAAGTGCATTTTAGGGCATTCGTTCTGGGGGCTGGTAGGGTGCGTGGCCTTGGCGATGCAGCGGGGGGAGGCCAGACAAGGGTGTGGGGGCGGTCAGAGAGACGGCCCTGGAGCTGGCCTCTCTCCTAGATGTGAGCTTTCCGGGCAGTTGGTCCCCAATAGCTACATGCTGCTTGGTGCCTCAACCAGTGTCCACGCTCCTCTTCAAGAGCCCTGGCCTGACTCGACTCAGGGCGCCTGAGGACCAACAAATAAAAGCCTTTCAAGGGAAAACAGAAGGAGAAACCACCTTGTGAAAGAGTAAGACTTTTGAAGAGTGAGCCCTGAAAAATAGTCTTTCAACAAAAATTTTTCAACCTTCCCCATCTGGGCTGACTGGGCTTTATGGAGGGGCCGGCCTCACTTCATCCCCTTTGTTACCCCGCCGTGGTACCAATGAGGAAACAGAAGCGTAGAGAGGTTAAGTGACTTCCCCAGGGCCCCACAGCTAAGAAGCACCGGAAACCGAATTTGAACCCCGCTTCCTCTGACCTCTTCTCAGGCTCTCCTCCATTGCAGAAGCGCACCAGTGGCCAACCACGATAACAATTAAAGTGAGAGTTTGCTCTTTGATGCTACCTCTGCTCCAGGGCCTTTGTACTTGCTATTGCCTTGGCCTTGGTTATCTTTCCTGGGGTCTGGGTGTGGCTGGCTGCCTCTCAGCATTCACATTTGAGGTGATGTCAGCTCTTCCGACAGCCCTTTCTTGATCACTCAGTTTAAAGTAACCATCCTCCTCTCCCCCATTGCTCATTATTCCATCACCCTGTTCTGTCTTCTTCCAGGCACATATTATTATCTGAAAGTATCTTTCTATTTACTTATGTATTTACTTCGTTCCCCCCCAGCTCCCTGAGGGCAGTGACCTATTTACTTTTTCACTGTTCTTTCTGGCACCTAGAACAGTGACGGCGTGTGGGGCTGTGGTAAATATTTGTGGAATAAGGAAATGCATTAATCGATTCATTCCACCCTCCTCTTTGTAGTTCCATTTCCTTCCCGCCAGCTGGCACAGAGGAGGCACCTGTGGCCTGGCCAGGATGTGGGACTTGCTCAAGGTCACTCTGCTGGATGGAGAGCCAGGACGGAAGCCCAGGCTGTCTCCCCACGCGGGTCCCAGCAGGTTCCAGCACGCCCGCTGCGTTGCCTGCGTGCTGTGTTGTTTTGTGGACCAGGTGTAAATGCTTCCCAGCTAAAAGCTGTTTGTTTGGGAATCGCT